TGAAGCTGAACGAGAAGCACGAAAACAACTTATTGAACAAAATCGTCGAAAACGTTGTCAATATTTAAATAAAAAAAATACAGCTTTGGTATGAAGAGATAATATACAAAATTAGAAAAGATTTAATTATTATGATTGAAATCATATTTATAGAATAAGTTTTTTACGACTTGTAAAATCAAATAGATTTATTATCATTGATAGAGATTTGCGGGACCATGTTTTTTTTTTATCTCTTTTTTACTAGAATGTGTCATACTCGTGTTAAATCTAATCTCGATCCGGCTTAGAGAAAATTATTTTAAGATTTATTTGTATTAAACTTAAGAAATAATCTTAAACATTCTTATGGTGATTAAGTCAACTGACGGGTGTTTTTAGTTATCTCTCTTAAATTTTGCTTTGATTGACATAATTTTTGATTTAATTTGCTAAAAATTATAGAAAATTTAACTAAAATTTTCAATTCCGATTTAAACAGTTGTTTTTCTTGTCGCTGCAAGTCCAAGACCAAAACTAGTCTCGCAACATCTTTAATTCTATATTTAAAACACTAAAGAGAATATATTTCTTTTCTCTGAAATCATCCATCTTTATCTTGAACTCTTTCATTAGCTAAAGGCGACTCTAAGTTTTTCGGTACTTTTTATCTATAGAAGAGAATGTATATAGACTTCTAGAGATAGACTCTCTCTATCTAATAATGTATGCATTATCAAGTTCTACGACGCAGTGTGATTACGGCGGTAGATGGCGCTACCTATTGAGATACCATGGGTACGCAATAGAACCTGATAGTATATGTCAGTGTCCACAGACCAAGGCAGCACATTGCAGATCTCCGAACAGGACAGGACAAGGTCTTTATATTCTGTGATATTCTGCAAACCAGAAAATCAGTTTTTCAAATTTTCATTCTGAAGAACAATGTCTTTTCATTCCTTGAGAAACATAAATCGAATATAGGCTGCAGAGAGCAGTAACAACTGCTATTCAAAGTTTTTCTTATAGATTTACATTCGAATGAACATGATTGAATAAATAAAATGATCATAGTTTATCATACTAAAGTGAAACATTAAGTTATGAGTTCTATATCATTTGATTCATATGATGATATTTGTCTTATGTCTACTCCTGATCATACGCGGCTAAATCAAATACGACTTCATCTTGTCTTGTTGATTATTTCACCTCAATTTCCTCAAAATTTTATACTTCTGAACAATTGAAACAATTGTTTTCAAAAGAAAAAATGAAAACATTCGTCTTGAAAGCAATACTTCAACACAGGTTTTACCGCCTTGGTGACTTTCTTTTGTACATCGAGCTGTTAAAAATTAAAAAAAAAAACAATGAAATATTTTATTAGCACGATCAGTTGAAAAACATTTGTATAAAAAAATAAATTATACCTTTTTTTGTTGTTTTTTGCTTTCTTGCTTGTAATAGTTATCTTACTAGTATTTACTCTTTTTTTTTTAAATATATTTTTCAAATGAATTTTTATAAAAAAAACAGAACAAAACCATATAGATCTGAGTTATGTAGGTTATATCATCTACTTCTTGTCTGTTTTGATACCCATGAATTTTATTAGTGGAACTATGAGTTACTATTATTATAGAATGAGTTTAAATAAAACAATATTCTATGATACAATGACGAAATAGTTTTACTTTTGAACTCAGTCGAAAATAATAATCAAGACGCTTCGTCGAATCGACAGAGTGCCATGCTCTAGTGGAAGAGTAAGATAGGGTACATTTTTTTTGTCTTATACCTTTCTTGACAATAAGGTAGAGTAGGACAAGGCAGAGTACAGGATGGGAAAAATCACCTTGTGGACACCTCTGATATATACATTAGTATATAGAGGAAGTCTTTCTCTACAAGCTTTCACATCTTCCGTTCTGTAGTCAAAAGCTTTTATAGTTACATTTTCCTCCTTAATTAATGCGTCTGTGACATAAAAGTTCTGGCAGAAAATATTTACTTATTTAGTTAGAACTAGACATTTTCGCTCTTTCCGAATATTTGTTTAGATTTTTCTTCTGGATTAAGATTAGACAGCTGTCGTCAGATTGTTTCAAAATAGTGTTTGTACAGAATACGATTTAGGTCAACTGTGTATTTCGATTGAAACCTATTACATCTTTAGTAGAAATGCATAGATTTCGCTTACTGACGAACTGTACTAAAACTGCTGCCTTTCTTTGTATAGAAACAATTTTAGAATTTCCTACAAAATTCACTGATAATTGCTCAATCTTACTTTCGAAGAAAAATCTGAAGTTGTATTAAAAAATAGCAAAAAATTCTATTGTCTAAATAACCCGAATTAATTATCTTTTAATAGTTCGAAAAATAAAAAATATTTCTTTTTTTCATTTTTATATCTATAGATTCGACCATCAAATTTATTATTATTAACACAAAATCAATCACAAATAATATCTTCATCTGATCAAACACTAATTACAAATATATGTGGTGCATATGAACGAACATGTATAGCAACAAAAGCAAAACAATGTCCATCATTTCCTAGTTCAAAACGTTTATCTTTACATACATTTCTTAATGATTATACTGAACGACAAAAAGCATTAGTTAAATATTTTAAACTTATACCTGAATTTGAACGTTTATCAATGTCGGATAAAATACATTTAATAAGAAATCATTTTTGTATTACATTAACTATTAATGAAGCAACACTTTCTTCTGATATATCACAAAATTTAATGGATTCTGTAACAGTATTATATAATAATAGTATATCATCTCATCTTATTAAATGTATTCAATTAGTACATTCATATACAAATGATCGTATATTACTTAAACTTCTTCTTATTGTTAAAAGTTTATCAAGTGGTATTAATAGATATACAAATGACATAGATATGGATCGTATTTATGATGATACATTAGGTATATTTTCAGCACAAAATATTTACGTTGAATTATTATGGAAATATCTTTTATCACGTTTTCGTTCAGAATTTTATGCTGTCAAATTTTTTAACAAACTTATGCGAGATTTACTTTTTGTACAACGTGTTTGTTTTATGACAGAATCATATATAAATTGTTTAACAGATGAAATAGAAAAAATGGATCCATTAATACAAAGTATGTGGCCAATATCAAAGCAAAACAATGATACAAATATGGATATTATTGATACAAAACGATTTTCATAACATTAAAGAAAAATAATTTTTCTCATACATAAATATTTAATAAGATTATCTTCAAACAAAACAAAAATTATAATTTCTTTTATAAAGATGAAAAATTAGTATGAATGGAAAATCAGTGTGAATTACATATAACAACAGTAACTTTATAAAATTTTCTGTGAACATTTGTTTTTATTAAAAAGCAAAATGTTTATTTCGTTGTTGTAATTTATAGAAAAAAAAAGCTTAGTATTAAATGTCTCTGTATTGATTTTCTTCATTGGTGAATGTAAATCTAAACTTTTATTAGATTTAGTCGTTTTGGTTATTGTCGTTTATATATATATATATATACATGTGTGAAATAAAAATTTTTAATTAATGATAAAGAGTTTGAATTTCGAATTTGCAAATTTAGTTTGAAATATCTCTTGAGAAAAACTACATTTCATCTTAAATATATATATGTATATATATATCAAGATTATTATATTTATGAATATAATCTGATTAAAATTTTACATTTAATCTTATCAATGAAATATAAAGAGTTATCCGGAAAGTTCGTACAACTCATATTCTATGAAATCGTACAATAACAAGTGCTGCATTTATTCAGTGTAATGACTTTCGCTAGCAACCATACGTTGTCAACGATCACGCCAACTGCTTATGCTATTAGAAACGTTTGAATAAATGTAGCACTTGTTATCGTACAGTTTCATAGAATATGAGTTACACTGACTTACCAGAGAATCCTTTGTGTCAATCTCTATTTAGACGAATATTTTATATAATTAATACTGAGTTGTAAAATTCTAATGATCCATCTCATAACTATTGCAATATATACAATTCATTTGTTCAATGTACATGTTATAAAGCAACGAATAGATTTTTTTTTCATTTATCAAAACAAATTATGCTACGATGCCTTAGTTTGTACGAACCTATCAATAGCACTTATTGTTGTCTATTTAAAAAAAGGCGAGTGGGTATTTTTTGAATAACTTTTGATAGAAGCGAGGTAGAGAGCTACAGTTTTCACCGTTGGAAAAACAAGATGAAGACGCATTGAATGACATATTATAGGCTTCTTTAAGATGTTTTCGCAATCAATTTTCTGAAAAATTAGTTGCTCCTAAAATAAGAAAAACCCAAAAAAAAATGATTTTTTCCCCTGATATTAATAGAAAAAATCGGCTAAGAGTTTCGACTAAAATGTACGCATCTGATTATTGAAAATTCGCCTTAATCACCTTACGGATTATGTTGATTTTCAAAAACGTCGGTTTAAGTCTTTGAAAAAACCTAGATTAAATTATTCTGTAATATACGGTTCAATGCGTCTCCATCTCCTCTTTCCAACGATGAAAATCGCAACTCTCTATAGTGATTCTATCAAAGATTATTCAAAAAATACCCACTGGTCTTGTTTTTTTGACATGGACAATAATACATATTATATGCTGATATGTGTACATTAAGGTACTCACGCTAGATATAAAACACTACTATACGACTCTCATTTGAACAAAAGATCTGAGAATAAATTTATTTCTAGGTTTTCTAATTTAAAAATTTATACAAAATTTTCATTGAAATATTTTCTTTATTTTTTTGTTTTTATTCTTGAAATAAATTAAGAATATCATTTGCAATGATATTTGTCGGTCTATTTCCGTCGATAACATGTAAATGAGAACTAGGTATATGATTACGATAGATAAAATCAAGTCGACGATGAAATTCTTCTTGTGTAACTAATTGTTTTTCTTCTAATGTAATAGGAATTGATCGTTGAGCAAGACGTCAACAACGTTCTATTTCATCTACATAAATATAAATAATTAAAGCTGGTTGTACAAGATAATTAGACCATGAAATTTTTATTTGATTATTTTCATTTAATTTTGCTAATTGATAAATTATTGTCGATGGCCAATATCGATCAAGAATATTTATTATATCTGATTGATTTTTTAATTCCAAAAAAATAATTAAATTTCCTAAATTATAATATGCACGACGAACAGATTCTAATCGTATATCAAAATAAGATCGAAATGATAAAAGTCGATCGGGTGGTGTCGATAATAAACGTAAATTTTTTTTTTACGTATATTTAATTGATTATATAATTTATTTGACTAATGTTGATTTACCACAACCATCAAGACCTATAAAAAAAATTTAAAAAAAATTTCCATCTAATAAATTTTAAATGAAATTTTTTATACCTTCTAAATCAATACAATGTGCTCTATATTGATCTTCATGTAATTCATTATTTTAAGATTGCAAAATTGTAATCAGTTGTTTTTCAGTATTATCTAATATCGTTGAAAATATTTCAATATTGAGAATTGACAAAAATTCATTATTAATAATATGGTTACGAAGTATTTTCAAAATTTTCATTTTGTTTTTTGTTAAATTTTCAAGTTAATACAGAAAATTAAATTCTTCATTGATCATCGGTTTTTGTTCCCAGAACTTTTCTTTTCTGTAATATAGAAAAAAAAAACACCAGCATGTAATCTATTTTTTGTTGTTTGGCTCTTTTACTCAGGAAATAAACATAAAAACAAATGCTAATACAATATATAAAAAATTATTTAAACCATATATCAGTCCATTTTAAGTCATCAACAGCAAGAGAGAAAAATCTCATTCGGATATTCCGAGGCTTGGAATAAAATTTTTCCTACTTGTGCTTAGCATAATCCTAGTAAAATTAAAATGTTAAACACGATGTCACTGCTGTTACTAATCACACACAAAATTGTTTGATTCTGTTTATTTTGGGACACATTTTTTCACTGTCCTTTTACTTAATTCTGGAGAAATACAATAAGGAAATAGTTTATATATTCTAACGACATTCCAGTGAAAAATATTTATCGAAAAAAATGGTAAAGAACGCGTTTCACTTGCATAGGAAACTTTTTTAAAGAAAAAAAAACGCTCTACATAAAAAGTGGAATGTGTTCCAAAATGGAACGGTCAAGAATGCGTTCTCATCGTTAAGAAACGTTTTCTTTTCTTAAGAAAAGGGCTTTCACGTTCACGGAACGCGTCCTTCACTACTACAGTTTAAAATGATGAAAAACGCGATCCAAGATCAGCTTTTCCTATGAGAATCCTCGAGGAGTTCCAAATGATTGACAAAACCTTCAAGGAATATTTGAAAAGCTAAGCAAAAAAAACGAAAAATCCTTGTAGATTGCCTAGGAACTGGAGCTTCGTAGTCCCTAGGCAATCTACAAAGATTTCTCATTTTTTTTGCCTAGCTTTTCAAATGTTCTTTGGAGATTTTGTCATTCGTTTGAAAATCCTCGGGGATTCTCATAAGAAAAGCTGATCTAGGTTGCATTTTTCCACGAAAGAATGTGAGAAAGGATTTATTAGATTTCTAGACCCATACAGAAACCCTTAACAAAGATAAACCAGGACACTGTTAAATCTACCAATAAAATTTATATAACTTAACCAAGAAGCATATCCTTATCTAAATTCAACAGAGAAAATATTTCTCTATCTACTCAATCTGGAATCACTGGTCACTGTCTATAATTAAATCCCACGGAATAAAACTGACTGCTTCTATTAAGATGGAATAAAAACTAAAGGAAAACTATCTCTAACTCTACTAGATGGAAAAAATGATTATTTTCATTGGTATGAAATAAAATTAAAGGACAACTATTTCTATCTCTACTAGATGGCGAAAATGTTCGTTTTTATTAAGATGAAATGAAAACTAAAGAAAAACTATCTATATCTCCGCTAGATGAAAAAAATGATTTTTCTGATTAAAATGCAATAAAACTAGAGGAATCTTAATTCAATCTTTACCACATAAAAAATGATTATTTTTATTAAGATGGAAAATAACGAAAGGAAAACATGATTTTGTTTTTGATTAATATCGAAAATAACCGAAACGATGCTAATTCTCTCTTTACTACTTAGATAAAAGAAATGATTATTTCTATTAAAATGTAATAAAACTAAATAGACAATACAATACAAATTGTGGGAAGACCTTGTTAAGTTCATCAAAGAGAAGAATTATTGTATACTCGTTTGCCGAACGACTCTGAATTTTTTCTAGAATCCTTCTTATTGTTACACACTACGCTTGTGTCTATTTTTATTGTTTTTACCAGTGTATTGTAAAAAAGACTGTCACAATATTGACAGCTAAAAGCTCAACGTTGAAAACAGATGTTGATAAAAGAACTAAAAGTTATGATAATAATTTTTTATGCAGAAAACAATGAGAAAAAAATTTAATATATTTGAGAGCACTGACGAACTCATTTGAAGCTAATCAATATTCTTTCTCAATATAACGGAATAATTTTACGTAGGTTATGAAACGGACGAGAAGGTGTTCTGTATTTTTGAAACTGATTTTTGAATTCACGAGAAAGCATTTGACAATTAGGAGAATACGTTCTTTTCTCCCTAAGAATGGCGTTGGATTTTCTGGAATGTGTTCATTAGTTCGAAGAATCCATTTTCAAGTATTTCTTGAGAGTAGGTCAAAGAAAACATTCTCATTTTGATGGAGTCCGTTTCAAAAATGAACGGTTCAGAAAGCTTTCCCTTCAGATAAAGAACGATTTTGAACCAAGAAAAAACCATCCCACAAAAACTTGGAACGACAAAGAATGCGTTCCTTCAGATGCATAACTTATTCTTGTCACTCATGAAGACATTCGCCAAACTATAGAACGCGTTCTTCATGGGAAAGGTAACTTTCCATGTTTTGCTGAATGCGTTTACTTCCGTTTTTTTCCATGGTTATTTTTCACTGAGTATGATATTAATATGTGATCTGTAATCGTATATCAACAATGTCTGACTGATTGAATAAATAGAAAATTATATTGAAATGAGATTAATTTAACAATCAGTTAGACAAGTAGAGAAAATGTTGAATTTTCTTTTTTTTTTTAATTTTGTTAATAGCTTTTTAAAATTAAGTATTCTTTATGATGAAATTTTCTAAAAGAATATTTAGAAATAATATTATCTTTGAAATATAATTTATTCATAAGATAATCGTTTCATTAAATCTCTTTATTCTAATTTATAAAATGATTTCTCTTTATAAAACAAAAAAAGAATCAAAAAATTAAATGAGTGGTTGCCAGAGTCGAGCTATTGTTAATAAACAATAATTTGATGTTTTGCTATGTTGTTGTAATATATTTCTAATATCATTGATATTTAAATCATATACAGATTGATTATTTATCTAGATTAGAAATTCTTATTGAAAAACTTTTTTATTTGTAAATAATAATTAAAAATCTCACTTTTAATATAATATCATTTTCTTGAAGATATTTTATATCTGTTAATGATTCAATAGCTGTTACTTGACAAATATATTTTTCTCGTTTAGAACGAACTTGTTTAAAATTTGTTTGAATTGAACATTGTAATAAAGGTCGTCGACCATTAAGAATTGAATATGGAATTAAACAAGATGGATTTAATTGCACTATACTTATTGTCATTGTATAAAGAATAATTTTTCTTGGATCATCTATATTAAAAGTTGATATTGTATAATAATTAGGTAATGATTGATTAAATAGATTTGGTATAATAAAAATATTTTCCTTATCATTATATTCATTATCACTAAGCAATGATATATTATTATCTATTTGTTGTATTTGAACAGATGATAAAGTTAATTGATCAAGCATGATTGTAAAATCATGAGAAGAACATTCATTATCTAATTGATCAAGTAAAGCAAGTACTTGATTTTTATCATATTGTTCAACAATAGGAGGAAAAGGTAATTGTCTTTTTATTATTTTATTTGTATTAATTTGTTCACGTGATAATAATGAACGTGGAAAATAACAATGATTATAAAGGAAAACATTTGAAGGTATATATTGTAATGAATTTTCCGTTGAAATAACTTCTATTTCATTACCATCAATACGTCGAGCTATTGGTTTATATAAAGTTTTTATTATTGAATGATTTAATAATAATGATGATGATGATGATGATGATGATTGATGTTCATCAGTACTTAAACTAATATTTGTTTGACTTTCATCAAAAGATATTTTTGATAACGTACTAAAATTTATTGTATTCAATGATGATGTCATCATTGAAGAATTTGACTAGAATATTATTTGATGAAATGTAAACTTTTATTTTTAGTTAATTTTCTTCTTACTCGTTTTTGACCATTTAAATGTTGGATTAATTCTTTGGTATTATTTTCAATTTCACTTGTTGTTTGTAAACCAATTGTAATCGAATCATTATTATTAGATTGATAAATTTTTGATGTTTGATTTCGTCGATTATTATTATTATTATTATTATTTAAAGCACGTAATCGTTGATCGAATTCATCTAATATACTATCATCATTATTAAAATTTGTTTTATATTTAAGAAATTTATGATATCGATCAATTGTACCATTATCATCGAATGAACAATCATTATTTCTTTTTTGAAGAAGTTCTTGTAAAAATTCATTTGCTTGTCGATATGTTTTCATACGACGATCATGTACTTCTTCACCACTTTTTTGCATACCTATTCGAGATGATGTCCATTCATATTTTGCCATAATAGTACTATTAAGTCGTTGAACATTTGAAAAACTATCTTTATCATTCATAGTCGTTTGTGATTATGTATAGATTATACAATGAGAATAATAAAAAATCAAATAAGAAAGAAGAAATGAAAATGAGAAAATAATTTCAATCAGTATATTAAAAAGAAAAAAAGAATGAACATGTTAAATAAACATAAGAGATGACAATAAAGAAATAGTAACAGATGTCTTATACATACATTCAATTTACTTATGTGTATATGTAACGTTGATAATGAAAAAGAAAAAAAAAGAAAAGAAATAATCAAATAAATATAAATAGAGAAAATGAAATTTGATGTTATTTAATAAAAAAGTTTCAAAAAAAAAAGAATTCTAGTATTAAGAATGATGTTTATTTATTGAATTATTAAGAGTTATGTGTTTTCTTTTTCTTAAATGAATTAAAATCAAAGAGTTGATTTTAATTTTAATTAATCTATTTCAAAAAATTCTATTAAAACATGAAGATATTGAATTATGTCAATTTTTAGTTTGAAATATTATTCTTATGATTTTGTATATGAATAGAAATATCTTTTATGATAATCTTTCAATTTTTAATATTAATTATAATTAAAAAGCTTTGATAAGAGTTTTGTCCTTAATCTTTGACCATGAATACATCATTACTTTTATCATAAAATCCTACAATTGAAATGAAAAAAAAAAATGACATTGAAGACAAATCAAATGAAGTTGTGTAACATAAGAAACTCGTATTGACGCATATTGAATTATTATAAACATAAATATTTTCTAGACGCATAAAAATGAAATGAAGGTCGACAAAGAATTTTCGGATGTTAAATGAGCTAGATTTTTTACCCTTGTTTATTGAATATCTATCGAAAACGTCATGATATAGGACTGAAAACTTAACTATAAACTCTTCAACATACATTTTCATAGATTACGATTAAATAATTGTTTGCTGTATTCCTATACGATTATGCAGATTGTACTCAATGATTATAATAAATGATAATTTATCTTTCATATTTTATTTCATGCTTATTTAATACGAAAGATTTTCATTTTTGATTTTATCTATCATATCATAGAAGTTAAGAGACTGTTTTAAATCAATTTATTCAAACAGATTTTATTTGAAATAAAAATAACTTGAACTTTATATATACTAGTGACAAAAAAATGGAGTTAGAGTAAAAATCATATTTTCTAATATTTATATCTACGGTATGTTCTAATACGGCAAGAATAGTTATTACCAAAGAAATTTATTTTTGTTGTAGTTTCTTAATAAATTCCCTTCGGCTAACGTGTACATCACGAATTCATTCGATGTTTGTGGGAATAAAAAAAACAACAGACTAAGAACAAAATCATCAGCACTAACACAAATTAAAGCTATTTGATAATCTCTTCCTATGCCATCATTTGCCTAAAAAAAATATATCAACAACTAGATTTAACTATAACCCCATTCACCGATAAAAATAAATAAATAATCGACTTCAATTTATTTAAGTGTATTAATCTTTTGTTTGATCTGAAAACTCAGTTCTTCTATCAATGGATCTTCATGTACTTATTTCAAGTTTACACTGGTTTTTTTTCATTTAATATTATCACCATCATGATGTTCGACAAATAAATAAATCTATTTTCTACCAGGACTATCGAATAAATTCAATGACTTACAAATCACAGTCAGATAAAAGTTGAAGCAAAGCAATAAAATAAGATTCTTCAATATTATTCAAATACAATGGACGCAATAACCAACTGTTACAAGTACTTTATCGAAACTATGTAGAAATACCAAACAAAAATATTTAAGAGCATAACTCAGATACGGCAATAACTAATTGATTACAATTTCGCACATATAAAAGACTAGAAGATTCTTTTTCATGCAATTACAACAATCACAAGAAGGAGACGGTTCAATCCATCGTTAATCAGTGTTAGACACAAAATTAAATCCAATCTGCACATCTATTAGTTTATTTCTATAAAACTAACGAGGAATTCTATTCAGGTGTCAAACTTCGATTCAGCTCATTCGACAGAGTATAGTGAGGTGGTGACAAGCTAAAAATATTATCAACCACCAACTCTTCCTGGAGGCGTTATAGACATTTTTCTTTACAATCCAGCGAAAATAAGTAGAAATAGGAAAATGCATAACTCAGCTTAGGAAGGTCATAGAACGCTGATATTTTTTTTTTTGGAAGATAGTAGTAAAGGTCTACTCTGTAGCCTGAAACTTTTAGATCGGAATCATCTTTCCTCTAAGACATACAGCACTTTTTGTACGTAAAGGTTTTTCTAAGGCAAAAGGTGCGTAGTATTTTTCTTTTACACATCTTCTGTTTCCTTCATTGTATACGAGATGGAGTGAGAAGAAGATAACTAAGTCTAAAAACCTCAAGAGAATGTAAACTAGGAATGGTAAAGTTACGTTTAAGTTGAAAGTTGATTTCAGCGTAACTTTTTCACCAGAATGTAAACACAACACTTGCAAAAAAGA